GTCATAATATTTGGAGGATAAAGTGGGCTAACTGTAGGGGGGCTGCCATAACACGTTGGGGTCTCGGTTGCTGGCGCCGGAGTCCCACTCACTCCCACTCATTCCCACTGTCTGTGAAACTTCATGTCCTCTTTGAATGGTGCGGAGATGTAGCCACCTACAGCTGTGTGGCCAACCCTGCCTGCGATTCTCCTTCAAAAAAAAAGACAGACAGTTTCCTCCGAGTCCGTCTGGCTGTTTATTCTAAATAAACAGTTTTCTGCTCAGCCGTTTCTTATACTAATAACAGGCTGGTGCTGATGTGGCAGGAGAGACAGGGAGATTGAGTATTTCTTTATGGGTGAAATCGATATGAAAGTGTAACTCCACCAACTCCTCAACGCCCCTCATTTAACACAAGGAGGTGCTGCCTTCCCTTTGCAAAACCTTTGGCCACAATGTTGCGGCCTTTCCTGGTATTAATGCCACTTTAATGTCGTAATTCTACGACTTTTTTTCACAAAATATTACAACTTTATTCTTGAAGTTCACTATTTTTATTTTTATTAACCTTGGCCTTAAAACGCCGTCGTATGGTTCAACGTCAGTGCAGCAGCGTAAAATTTTGTGAGTGCCTACTCCAACATTAATGATGGAACTAACCAAACTTTGTGTAAATAGACCACAATATAGAAATATGTACAAATATGCAGTTGTGACTGGCATGTTTCTTTTTTCTGAATTTATACAAACACTATTTCATTTTATAGTAAATTTATTTTGGCTAGTTTATGTTTAAGAACAGACCTACAGATGCAATATAGTAAAGGAAAACACATTTGTGAACCTGTGTTTAAAGCAAGTCTTTATTAAACTTGTAACTAAGTTGCGAATAAATCTTAAACCGGAACTTTGCTTGTTTGCAAAAGGTTATTTCAGAGCCACTTGGTTCTATCTAATGGAAATTGTTTGCCTTCAGTGTTTTGAGCTTATGATAATTTTAATAGACATCAGTGTCAGACTAATTAATGACATTCTATTAAAATATTGGTTTACCAAGAGTGACACTAGAGTATTTTCACCTAAAATGAGTTAATGAAGCATGATGAGTGTTGTTACAAAAATGATAATAGGACATTGAGGTCATAATTAATCTTTTAGTACTTTTACTTTCGATACTAAAGTACATTTGAAGGCAAATACTTTTGTACTTTTACTCAAGTGGATTTCTAAAGGGAGGAACTTCTACTTTTACTGGAGTAATATTTTATCTTGTGTATCTCTACTTTAACTCAAGTACATGATTTGTGTACTTCATCCACCACTGGTGTCATCTGATTGAAATTGACAAAAACAGCCTTCATGTCAACTGCTGCATATTGGAAAAGGCCTTTATAAATGTTCATATAGGTTTACATCAGCTGTGACGAAAGGTTTAATTGTCACATAGCCTTGTGACCATGACCTACACTACAGTGACTTACAGACCCAAAGTCGCCTATGGGCATGTCTCAGTAATGGCTGCAGGGGAGGTAGGCCTTGCCATGACTGGTATTTGAAGACTCTCTTCACACTCACTCACTTACGCACATCTGAGGCGGTCTGAGCAGACTAATGGCTTACTAATATAGTCAATATGATATGCTTTATTCTAATGTTTAAAAACATTGAAATAAATGTTACATTTCATTACAAAGTACCCATATGGAAAAAATATATATTCCAAATTTTTGCAATGTATGAAAATGGCCAAAAATATATTTCTTAAACATACTTTTAAAATGCATTTATTTGTATTTGCTATTCAATTTTTTTTCAATTGTATGCATTTTAAACCAAGGTTTCAGATATAACGAAACATACATGAACTGAATGAGTGGGGCTGATGTCTGTGTTTTGCATTATACTTTGCATTAACCATTGTACATATGTGGTAAGACACTCACACAAAATGTATTTTAAATAAACAAGATGTCAAACCATAACTGCATTTTCACAGTGTATCAATAACAACAACACTTTTGCTTTGTTTAAGGATCATTTGCTAATACTTAAAATTAAGATACTGGAATACAAATTCATTTTCATATATTTTCAAATGTATTTGATAAATACATTGACGGCTTATGTGTTTGGGCAAAAGACAGCAATTCTTTTGGTCCACACGGCAGCCATTTTGCTTACTGTGGCAGACACAGGGTGGGAAAAGGATAATTAGTCAGTCATTAACTACTGGAGTAAAAAAAACCTTGGGAATTAACATCAGTGCTGTAGTCCATGAAGAAGTCTAGTCTGAAGTAGTGGGTTTAGAATAGTGGGAATAGTGGGAATAGCTGTTAGCAAGACCAGCCTAGCTAGCACATACCAAAACTAAAAAACCTAGCTAGCTGTATAAATGCCAATTACCCATTAATATATTCAGTGCTTTTCTTCTCGGGTCAAAATTTCACATACAGTGATAGCAAAAGGAAAATACATAGAACTGTGGATTTAAGTGGATGTACAGAAATCTTTGTGGTTTCTAAGTGGATAAGGGGCGTATACCTGCGTACCACATAGACTACATTTCTGTTTGACACATGTCTCCCATCTAAGTTTTAAAAGCGTCAAAAAAAAATATGGGCAAATGGGCAGCTAACTGACTATTACCCTCTTCTCAACCGTGTGGGACATAAGAAGCAAAATAGCCATAACCAAGTGAATAAGGTGAACTGAATTGAAGGAGAATTTGAGAGAGTGGGTTGGCTATTTTTCTTTCAGTGTATAGCAAGAAGGCAAACATATTAAAATAGTATGTAAATGATTCAGGCCAGCCCTAATAGATGCTAATGCTAATGACTCTCTTCAGGTCATGTACTACTTCTGTGGTGTTTGCCTTCCTCTTTGCCTGTGTAGCTGTGTGCGGTAGGCCAAATTGGCCTTCTGTTTAAGGAGTTGAGGAGGTCTCATTGTGGCCATCCAAATATGTCATACTGAGCCATCCATGTTTAATTCGTCCATAAGCTTACAGTTATGTGAGCCAACAATAGCCACCATCCAATGAACATTATGTTGTAGGTTACAATGCAGTCGATACATTGTCATTTCAGGCACGCAGCTACTGTCCATCATAATGATCACAGATTTCACTCCATGAGGAAGATATATATATAAAAATATGCCTCTTCAAACTATCGCTTCCCACTTATCTTGCACACATGTAATTATTACAAGAAGCGACTAATTAAAGTGTCATTAGACAGCTTCAGGATTCTTCCCCCCTTTCGTTTTTAGAGCCTTTCTCCGTATAATGAACACCAATCAAGGTATAGTGATTGCTGCATGTAAATTGACCACCAGGTGACAAAAGACATGAATGCGTTTCCATTATAGCATACATCAAAAATACACCAGATAATGTTTTTCACTTTCAGCTTTAGAAAATGTTTTTCCAGAACTGAAAAAGTAATTAAATCTTCGAGACTAACATAATTCTCCCTTCTTTTAGTCTCATATCAAATTTATCAAGGTCGCCACTGTTCACTGTTCTGTTCCCAGAGTGCAACATTTTCACTTCACAAATTTCACTTCTATATCACAAAAGTCAAACACACATTTGTCATTTGTAGATGTTGTCAGAGTGTCAGAAACTGAACGCTTGATGTTGGAGGACCATTCCTAACATCACCTGATCTGTTGAAATCTATTACTGAATGTAGAAAGTACAGAAGCCAGGTTAAAGGGCACATTTTCAAAAAAATCTGCATAATTCAGTCTCTGAGATGTAAATAATGTAATTCAAAGCAGTTTGATGTGAAATGGTGCATTCTAAGGAAACATATTGACTCTGATTTTCTTTACAATCATGGTTATAGTAAACAGGGGTCACTATGTCTACAACACAAATATAGCTTTCTCTAGAAGGGAGCATTAAACATTAAATCATTCTGAATAACTTTATTTACTTCTAATGATTGAATTATGCCAAAATATTAAGAAATAATGGAATCCTATTTAAAGGCCCGGATTTCACATCACTATTTCATATTGATAATAAATCTCTTTACATCTTTTAAAAGACATCACACAGGTTATTTTAGCAGCACAATATTGTGAGTAAACAGACCATGTGTGAAAACACATGTAAATTTCATCTTCTCAGTATAAGCAAAGCTAAAAGAGTTCAGTCTGTGTGAGAGAGAGTTTTTTATGAACAAAATAACCAGGAGAATTTCTGGAGAGAGAGTAAAGTGTACACCATCCATAATCATCAGAGGAAATGGTCAGTGACAGTTGTGACAGCTTTCCCTTTTGGAGTTTTTTTGTGACTCATTCAGCTTTTGGGAGCACACAAAATTTCACTGCCTGCGACAGACAGTGTTCTTAGAAAACAGTGCCAGGACCTTCTCATTATTAAATATATTTTCACCATTAGGAAAGGCAGTCCACTCTGAGCTGCACTACTCCACTACAAGAATATTGAAATGTCTCAAACCTAAATTAGATTCATTTGAATAAGCCTGCAGCAAAAAGTCTATATATGTAACTTCCATGTTTTTTCCACCAATTACAACGAAAGATTTCTAGCCTCTCCATTCAGGCAAGTTCATTCATGACGCCCACAAACATGTCCCTACGTATTAGTAGCCTCTACATTTACTTGGTATTTTATATGCCCCTTGAGCTGGTCTTCTCAAGTCAGAAGAGGCAGGAGTTCATGGTCATGACACAAGGCATGCTCGGCCAAGCAGTGAGGTGCACTGCCATTCTTGTCTTTTCCAATCTAGCGTCAATCCGCATAAAGAGGATTCTTGTCATTTGTCGTTCACAGTTGCAGAGCTGTTGTTTTCCATTCTTTCTCTGACATGACTGCTTCAGGTCCTGTGATCTCATACTGCAATTCAATCAGCAAAAAAATAAAAAAGGCCACGATTTGAGAAATCCATCAGATGGTACAGTTCAACTCCAATGTTTACCAGGTTTTTTGAAATCACTGATAATTTGAAGAAAAAAATCCTTTTAATGTCAAAAAAGATGTCATCTTAAAGGTCATACATGACCTGCAAACAGAAGAAAATTGTTAAGTCATTGCATTTCCTCATGTATCCACAAGTCACTGTAGCAAGCTCTGGCTAATCCACATGTGTAATCTAAAATGTGAGCAAGAAAACATTTTAATGTTTTCCGTCCACTGCTTAATTTTCCCAATGAGAGGGTTTGTATTTATGAATGTATGCATAGCATCTATATACAGTAATGATCAAAAGTCAAAGATTGATTTATTTCATTTTCATTAAGTACAAGTTATTGATTTTACAGGAGCTTTTTTCTAAAGAGATTAGACATATTGCAGTTGCACATGAAGGTGAAAGTCAAACGAAAATAAGTGAAAAAACAGTAGTTTTGAAAGGTTTTAAAAATTATTAAAAGATGCAGAGGAAATGGGACTGTGCAATAACAACTGTGCAAGAACTGGCAGATCACCAAAACTGTCACCATCAGATAAACAGTACTCAAAGCTTTCATCTTTGAGAGCCAGGGAAAAAAAAAATCAAGCTCCACTCTTCAGATCTGAAAAAATCCTGTTCCTGTCCATGCTTCAACTGTGAGAAGACAATGCTATAGGTCTGAAACGATTGTGCCATTACTGAAAAAAAGGGAATGGACAAAAAAAGGAAAGAAAAAAAAATTGCACTAGAACACCAGAACTGGACATCTGAAATGTGAAGCAAGGTTTTGTGCACTGATTAGTCTAAATTTGCAAGTGGGATTATTTGAATTGTGAGAAGCAGAAACTGCAAATGCAAACGGAAAGTAAGCCTCCTGAAAAGAAAGCTGCTCTAAAGGCAAAGGGTTCACACTAAATACTGAAAAAAAATCTTTTTCTGTTAAATTTATGTTTTCTGTTTTCTGACAGAAAACACTGACACTGAAAAATGCATAATGTATTTAATGGCAATTTTGACTAGAAATGAATTAAATCTCTGACTTTTACACAGTTTTGTATATCAACACATAACAGTATGCTTTACAGCACAAATCTCAGAGAGGAGCAAGGTATTTTTCTAGTTGATGTCATTTTCTTTCTATGTTTGCTGCAGCATGATAGTCTAGTCATTGGATTAATATTACACGACATTTACTAAACATCCATAATGTCCATAATGTAGCTCATACCCACTATATGCTGTCAGCATAACTTGTATTATCAGTCAACTAACATGCTAAATTCCGATTCTATACATCTTACCATCTGGTGTTTTCATGTTATAGCATACATCAGTTTATTAACTCTTAAAAGGGTAGCATCTGGATGCTTCGTTATTCCATTTTCTTTGTCAATGTTATGTCATTGCATCTTCCTAAGCTGTCATGGACAGATGCTGTCTTGATGCTTTCCATTACTGTGGCTTTCAGTTTCATGGCTGGCTTTACATAGTGAAATTTTCACACAAGTAGTTGCACATTGCAAGCTGCATGAAACATAATTTCCATGCAACTTGACAGTAACTTAAAGCATTTCAGATGAAATGGGTGCGTTAGAGTAGGAAAAAAAACTCAGAACAGATCTTCACATGTTGTGGCGATATAAGATAATCAGCCTACAATTGTATGTTTTTTTTGTTCAGTGGGAGAAAAAAATGTTCTGGCTAGTTAACTAATCTAACTAGGCTTAGTAAATATCAGCAAATAAGCAGTATTATTCCAACCATTAATCAGACTATTCTCCCCATTCTCTGCGTTTTGATTCCATTTTGACCCGTTGCAGATGAGTTTCAATGAGTTTCAATAGACTTACAGGAGGCTTTACCTAGGGCTGTAGTCACACCTGTCTTGAGTCTACGACAAGTCCAATACTATGACTTGCTGAAAACAAGTCACAAACATGTCTAATGGGGGCCAAGACCAAGTTGAGACTGAATCCAAATGAAAGCAAGAGTGAGTCAAGACCAAGACACAACTAGTCTTTAACTGCTTTCAGTATAATGAAATGGAACTCGAACAGGCAAAATTATTTAGTTTTCAGTTGCTTGGGAATGAGTCCGTGTCCAAGTACGACCTTTACCTACCTTTACATTATGCAACACAAGTGAAACTAAAGTTGCATGAAAATGTCATGTAAAGCCAGCCTGCAAGAGTCTGAAGCAAAATTGCATACAGAATACAGACCTTTTCTAGATCCTCCATGATCAGATCCTGTTCTTTCAGATTCTCCTTCCCTGAAGATTGGCTGGACTCACCGAGACTTTTCCCATTTCCCACTATTCCGATTCCCTGGTCCAGACCCAGCCCTGGCTTACAAACCCCAGGTCCAACCTCAGACTCCTGCGTCAAGTGCAAGTTTGTAGGCAGAACTGCATTTAGCTGAACCCGGTGCGAGTAGGTCTTCCTTTTGCCCTGCCTGGCTGAACAAAACTGCAGCTTGAAAGCGGCTTGGAACCCTCGGCGGAAGTTCTCATTGAAAAACCCATAGATGATTGGGTTGACGCTGCTATTGCAGAATGCCAGCCAGTGGGCCAAAGGGTATACGTAGATGTTAATGACCCGATGTTGGTGCTCACTCAGGCTAGCGTAATCACTCAGCATCATTAGTGTCCACAGAGGCAGCCAGGACAGGATGAAAAGCAGGGCCACAACCAGTAACATCTTAATCACACGTTTCTTTTTCCGGGACACAGTATGAGCTCTGCCCTCGTAGCCACCTGCTTTTCCAGAGCCAGATCCAGCACCGGACCCAGAACCCCCAGCTTGATTTGCACAAGCGGGAACAGCCGTCTTGAAGAGCGTAATCCCGATGCGAGCATACATGATGACAATGAGGGTCAGCGGGGCCAGATAGATGTTGGCAAAGAGGACAGTGGTGTAGATCTTTCGCATCTCCTGGTTGGGCCAGTTCTCACGACACCAGTAGAAGGGGCGAGTGGCATTGCCATCACCCAGCAGGATGGAGACCCGGCTCTCTTTGGTGACCTGGAGCATGACACCAGATGGACACATGATGGAGATGGCCAAAACCCAGATGATAATGATGATAAGCGTGGAAGTGGAGATGGTGAGCTTCTGCTTGAAGGGATAGACAATGCAGCGGAACCTGAGAGAACAGAGGAGAAAGGGACACAGAAGTAAAAAGGCAAAAAAGAACAAACATGCGTTTTTTTTTTTATCTACAGTTCATTTCACATCAGTTTTTGTTCATTTGTAGTCTTAATGACTAGCGTAAGTGCATGTAACTACTGAAATGTGATGTTCAGCATGGTGGGACTGATAAACAGTATTATGCTAAAAAACAGCATGGTTATTGTCTGATCTATGCAACAGTATGCATGAACATTTAAGCATTTGCTACCAGAAGATAGCTAGATACATTAGAGTAATACATTTATTTAAACTCTGCATTTATTACAGTACTACTCTTGTTTCAGTGTTAAGTTTAGGATAGAAATAAAAGGGTTAAATTCTTGAGATGCAGAGCCAGAAATTGGCCAATCAGGGTTTTTTCTCTATAGTATCTAGGTAGATATAGCTAAGTGAACTCTTCTGCTGGTTACAACTTCTAGATCTGAACTGATGTCCCTTCGTGTTAGATTAACCTCAGCATAAGAGAGGAATCTACTAATCATGTTTTGATTTTCAACAGACAGGACCATTTTTGCGAGACAATATATCACTCTAGGCCTTCGCAAAGTCCTTGATACACCACTGACTGAATACGAGCAGCAGCCTAATCAGTGAAAAACTGTAAAAATGGAAAATGGAAAAATGGAAAATAGTGGCAACTCTATTCCAGGGCTCACTACTGAAAAAAATCACGGTGAACCTGATACAAAGTAAACCATACGGAAATATGTCCATCACAAGCTTCAACTAAAACATGTAACATCTTTGAGAAACTCCACATGTCTGTGTTTAATCTCAAACCACCTTTTTTCAATTTTCTGTTCGACCTTAAATGGTACAGAAGTTACTTCTGCCACACTTAGGCACCGTGTAACTTCTGCAGCATTTAAGGTGGAACAGGAAATTCAAATAAGAAGCTAACTTCAGCCTCTTTAGAAAATGTTCATGCAAATTGCCGTTAGCTTAGTGCTAACAACAGAAGTTAGTATTATCATTGAGGTGTTTATTTCTGATTGTTTTGATGGAGTTTTGACATTTTTTGCCCAGGCCTAGTTCTAATAGTCAAGGCTCGCCACTGGGAATTAGCAATTTTAGAATGCAGTATGCGTACTAAAATACTAAACAGTAGTAATAAAACAGTAAATTATTAGAGAAACTGCTGTCAATATATTGACACTAAAATGTTCTATAGTGTTTTTACAGTGTTTCTGTAAACCAAAGGTCAATGAGGAGTTTTGAGAAGTTGGGAGCTATGCATAGAAGATGGGTGCTATGGATAATTAATCAAGAAACTTGCACACACACACACACAAATGCATGCCCACATTTCCTTACCTATCCACAGCAATGGCGACCAAAGTAAATACTGAAGCAGACACTGATATTCCTTGTACCATTCCACTCAACTTGCACACCAAACTTCCAAATGGCCAACCTGTCAGAGCAGAATGAGAAAGATAGAGGTACATTAATAACAGAGAAACTGTAGTCATTTTTTCATACAGTAGATAAAATACGGAATTGGGAAGAATGCATTGAAAAAGTAGTGATGGCTGCAGGCACAGACCTCTTGAGGAACAGGGGCCAAAAAAACATACATTAAACTTCGTACTTCAATACTATGTATTAAAAACACTCTTGTGTTAAGAGAGACAGATAAAATCAAGCATAGTGTTAAAGTTTTTTTGAAAAGCAGCCAAAAGCTGTAGCATTTCTAGTCAGGATGCATCAGTACCTTTTTTTTGGGAGATGAAGTATGAGTACTTGTTTTATAGTACTCGCAGATACAGATTACAATACCATGCTAAGTAACCTACTTAGAAAAGTGCAATGTAACTTAACAGCTAAATTATTCAAATATAGCTGATTGTGAATGATGTGCATAAGCCAGCTATGTTAAATTAGTTACCCTGAATCGATTAGCGCTGCAGTGGAGAAGAGTGGGTTTTGTTCCACATCAGAAAAGCACTGTACATCTATAACACATATTTCATAGTTTTTATCCCTGTTTCTCACCTGTCTCTTTCAACAACAGTCTCTGTATCACAGTGACAGCAGGAATCACATCCAAGGCTTATGCATCTGAGGGCCTCACATTTTGTGTTGCTGGAGTCTTTTTGGCTGGTTGAGCTGTGGGTGATTGTCCTCTAAAGCCAGACATACACTGGTGATTTTAGAAATCTTTGGTGGCACTCACATTTTTTATGATACCCGCTCGACTCAACTTGACTCTACTCGCTTTTGGCGCCAGCTACTTCATTTTCCACTGGAGCTATAGTAGCTAGTCGTCATAGTGACACCACATGACACTGCCATGATGTGAAGGAGACAAGTTTTGTTCAAAACAGGCTGATGGCAGCAAGACAAAAGACTGCTGAAAAAATCAGGAGAGCCAATGAGACAATTCTGGTTGCTCAAAGACATTGCAAGAGGATATGTTAACCTGGTAGCTAACATTAGCATATGTGTTTTGGGTAATAGTGACAATTCTTTCTGACCAATCAGTAGTCTGCATTTTTTCCACATCACCTTTAGGCATTGGCTCAACTCGCTTGGAACCTTATCTTTGATTGTTGTTCAAAATAACCGCATTATGGTATGTGACACCTTCTTAAAGGGATTACTGGCATTAATGCATTAGACGTGAGAGTTATGGAGAAGAAACACAGGCAGTTGTACTACACTAGAGGGGGCCCCCAGAAGCGATGAATCTTGCAGAAAAACATCAAACCACAAGCATTTATATTGCAGAAGCAATATATAATACATTTATAATACATTCCAACCTGTGGATTTTAATAAGATGAAATAGGATGAAAGCTTTAAGTACTGTTTGTCTGATGGTGACAGTTTTGGTAGTCTGCCAGGTCTTGCACAGTGGTTTGGAGTTTTCTTTTATCTTTTTTAATTTTTTGACTTGAGAAAATTCCCTTTTCTTATGGATATTTTATATCTTCTTTAAAACATCTCCTGACAAACAAATAAATTGTACTTAATGGCTTTCTTACTGGAATTAAATGAATCAAGGGTGGTCTCTGACTTTTGCACCATACTGTATTTCAACAATGTTCTTCTAAAAATGTAAAAAGTAACTGAATGCTAATACTACCAAAATGGGGATGAATACAAATAAATAATTCCTGTATTCTGTATACATATTCCAAATATTTATACTCTGTTACATTCCCAACCTTGATTGTACAGACCCCATTTGTTTATGCTCTATTGTTTTTTGCAACATAATAATGGTTGCTTTAATGGATGGGTTTAAAGCACTTTAAAGTTGGTTCCATAACTGTGCTTCCTCACTAGCTCAGATGTTTGTGTGGATGTATGTGGATATCTCACTCTTCTTCTTCTTCTTCTTCTTCTTCTCTGTCTCTCTCTCTCTCTCTCTCTCTCTCTCTCTCTCTCCCCCACACACACATCCTCCTTCTGTCTCTCTCAGTGTTTTCCAATTACTGACACCACTTAGAGCGTCCCCAGACTCCTTTAGTTTGCTGTGTGTTGCTGGCACTCTGTATGCCTCAGGATTACAGAGGAGGCTAAGACTGAAGCTCATTGTTTTTTTCCTTCTTTTTTTTCAAGTAAATGCTCCTGAAACTAAGAGAAGCCCATGGGAGTTGTTTCAGTGGTCGATTACATTCTGAGACTCAGTGAGGCTGTTAGCCTCAGTGCTGGTGCGAATGATGTAATCTACAGAGAACACTAGTAAAATACTACAGAAGAAGCAAGATAAAAAATAAGACTGTCAAACAAAGAAAGTGTGAAAAGGTTAGTTAGAAAAAGAGAGAAAGAGAGACAGAGAGTGAGAGAGGGAGTAATCAAGAGAGAGATAAGGCTTTTATCCCATTCCCAAAAGTTCAGATCCACCTCCAGTGGCGAAACTTGCACTCGCAATTAGGCCAAGCATTTCATGCACCTCCCACATACTTATGGGAGAACATGACATTTCACCTAACATATTCAGCCATTTTATTTCCCTAAAAACAAACTATGCTTAATTTCAAAGCAATGCTGAAACTGACAAGTATATACAAAGAAATATAAGCAAAGAAATGAAATGAAAGTATAGCTGTTTGGTCTACAGCTGTAGACCAGAGCATTTAAAGAACATTTAAACCTTGCAATTGTTCTTATTTACCCCCAAAAGGTTTCAAGTTACCACCCCAAAAACGCTTCAACATGCATACTAAGGAATTTGGCTGCAGGTCCAGTACCAGAATGATACAAAGACAATTTTTCTTCATGCATTTGGAACTCAGAATTTGACTGAACACTCATAGCATTCTGTTTCATATAATATGTTATTTATACAATGACTGTATGGTTTATGTAACCCATCTGTTCTGCTGAATGATGTATATATAGAGATCTATGCCATGTTTGGCATCAAATGCCAAAAAAAAATACTTTTTTTTTCCAAGTTCTCCAAGGAGAATACGTTCTCCTGAGAACGTTTCCTCAGGGTATAAACTCGGGGTCATACCCCAGAACACTCCCCTGATGAACTGAGCAATTGGCGCGGAATAAGCAGTAGAAAGAAAAGTGACAATTTCGATTCCTCAATGGAGTATAAATCTGAGCAGTCCTAATTCCGCTTCAAAGTCATGAATTAAATTTCCCTCCTCAGTCCCAAGATCAGTGATCATTAACTTCTAAGCCAACTCAACTGATGCCCTGGCCAGACTACTCAATTACCAACTTCAATTATACAAGTTGAGTATAAAACTTGTTCACTGTAACTGTAAAACTTCTTCCTATCGTCTCCACTGCTATCACTGTTGTGATAGCAATACTGTTGAGTAAAACTGGCCTAAATTTGCTTACCTGTGATGATGTTATCAACTAGAGTGGTGGGCATGCAGAAAATGCCAACCAGCAGGTCACTGATGGCCAGGTTGAGGATGAACAGGTTGGTGACAGTCCGCATGTTTTTGCTCCTGAGCACAATGAAGCATACCACTCCGTTGCCCACCATACACACAACGAAAATGAGGAGGTAGGACACGATGAAGATGGCAGACACGGAGGGTTCATGGAGGTAGAAGTCCACATAGGTGATATTAGAACCAGGGAATGGATGATGAAGGCTTGAGTCCAGTGAAACATTCTCATGGTTCTCCAAAGGGGACACAGAAGAGTCAGAGGAGTTAAGTTCCAGAAGCTTCATCGCCATTTTATCCTGCAGGGGAGGGCAAATATATCAGCGCACAAACAAGACAATGTGCATTTCAAATTTCAACAAATTTCAACTGTGCAAAATTTCAGTGATGTTGTACATGGGTTATTGCTTATGAAGATAATTGTCTTATTCTGTCTGTTCTGTCCTGTTCTGTCTTATTAAAGCTTATGTATTAGTGAGATATTGGGAATAAACAATGAGGCATGCGTGCCTTACCCATATCTTAGCCAACAGTTTGGAGAAAAATCTAATTTAAACAATTTTCCTCTCACTCCAAATGTAATTGATTGGCCAGGACATGTTTGGTATCCCACGTTTGCGCATTCTCAGCGCACTGTAGCTATTAGACAAAATGTAGCTAACAAATAATTGAAGCTTATACCCCACTGATCAGCAGTGTGCAAACTGCATGCCTAAATCATCACAAACTTGCCTCAACCCCCACTCAACTGTTAAGTAATCTCAAATAGACTTGCTTATGTGGTTTCTGACACTGTTTAATGCACTGTTATCTCTAAAAATGCACAACAGTGAAGACAAAAGAGGGGTGGGGGGTTTGGGGGTTGGCAGGGGCAATTGCACAGGGGACAGTTGTAATAAGACAGTTGCCAGGGTTCATTGGGCTCTTCATATAAATATAGACACAACTTTAATTTCACCCATGACTCACAAAAAGATCCATTTCCTTTATACCTAACTAACCAAAGTTTTAATAATTGAAAGACCTTTTTTTTGGCTGTTGGGGCACTTGGCATATGCAAGCTTTATCCAAAATCAGAACCAACTGTTCTACACTGAAAAAGAAAACTCTGGCAAACTATATGTAAACATGAACTTATTATGCATAAGGCCTGCTTTGTACATGCATATTATGTGCTTACAAGACCAATGTTAACCTAATTAGATCGCAATCATGGATTTAGGTTACCCCTGGGCTTCAAGGCGAGGTTAATGCTGGGTTCAAAGCTTGTGGATGTTAGTCCCGTGAGGCCAGGCTTGATCTTGTAACAAGAACATCAGGACAACTATTAGAAGTTTTGGGCTAAATGATTGCAGGAATGTAGACTTATTAGAGTGGGAAAAACTACAAGGTCGAGACACTTTGAGACAAGACCAACAGTCACGAGACCAACACAAGACCAAGACTAGATTAAGACTTTAGAATATACAAAATAAAAAAAAGAAAGGGGGAAAAATAGACTCATTTATAGTTAATTGAATATTCATTATCATGCATTATACATCATATATATTAATAAATTACGATACATTATAAATAATAAATAATATTATATTTTGTTACATGTCAAATTAAATTGTACATAGCCTAAAATATCATTAAATATCATTATACTACAGTCTTAGTCCTGCTTTGCATTGTAACTGTTGGAAGCAAATGATAGTGAACTAAATATAATATAGTGAAGTGAACTGAATATAAACCAAAATACATCCATTCATTTTTTATTATTAAATGAAAACACAGCAATAATGACATTCCAATGTGTCCTCAGGGGATGTCTGAATTTTGGAACCAATGAACATCAACAAACAAATAATACATAATTAAGCCATCATGGACAATACTATCACACAATGACAGTGAGGTAGCCGTCTCACACACACACACAAATAGCACATACTCCAAGCTATGCTTTGGCACAGCAGGAGTGGTAAAAGATGCATTAGCTGGTCAGAACAAGAATGTGGCAACCAACACAGAAAACTGGAAAACACGGGACCCAGGACGTTGTCATGGTAATGCAACCCCCACCCAAACACACACACATGCGCGCGTGCACATATCAACTATTCTCTTAACTTTTACTTTTTTGGGGGGGGAATTTACACATCACTGTGTCAAGCTTCTAAGAGGAACTTTGCATATCCTAATGTGACATAGCCTGAGGCAGGGAAGCATTGTACACATCTTTCAATAGTAAAAGCTCCAGCTGTGTTCTCTTGTTGCATCAGCAGCGCACTGCCTAACTGGCTCTACCGACTCCATCCACTTCAGGTGACTGATGGACAATTACATGCACTTCCACATTTACCATTTCCAAAAGCATCGTGGTAGCAAAATGTATCGCTTTCACAATGCAGTCTGTCAGACAATGGAAGCACTCTTACTGAAAGCACTGTTTCGGAGTGACACATTGACAACACACTCACTAATGCTACGCACGTACAACCACACACTACATTACTGATGTGCGCTGCAGGCTATGTGCATCTCTCCACGTGTTCTATTTGCTTTGCAGTCGTAGAAGGAGAGGCATAGTGTTATGAATATTTAAAATTTCAAGCGCTTTTTTGCGTGAATTCCTCTTGGATATGATAACAAGGACAGGTGGAAATCCAGGTATATCATTTACATGACGAAGGAGTGGTGCCAATGTGAAATGACCATCCCAGCAACACTCCTGGTTGTGATGTTTTGCAACAATACCGCAGAGGTCATAAAAAAGTCAAGTGCACAGTCAAGCCTCAAGTCTTTTAGGCCTGACCGAAATAGGGGCTATAAATTATTGAGTCTCCTGGTGCCTAGTGTGTAAATAATTTCTTTTCCTCTGAAGGCATTTGTGACTCCTGACTATGGCATTGATCTTGTGATCTTTTGTGGATTATGCAAATGAGCTGCTAAAAATTCCAACACATCTTCTGGAATTCTGGTATCAGTTTAATTCTACGCCAAAAATTGGCTTGATTCTAGCTAACGACAGATCTTGTTCATCTTGTGGTATGACAGCTCATTAGCAGTGTTTTCTCTACTATGTTATCTGAACTTCAGAGAGTTCACCATTCAGACAGTTTAATACGGCTGATAAATTGGCTATATGGCTAGATGACTCTGAAAGCATCGACTTGATTGATGAAAAATTGCCTAAGATTAACAATGAGAGATGTGTTAAGATGCTGAAAGCCTACTTCCACTCTATTGCAGTGTTTGGATCACTAGCTTCTGTATTAAGTAGGTTTATGGATTCTTTTATAATAGTAATATTAAATGTTACTCTGTGAGTGCATGTACAGCATATATGGACAGACACTATATGGCCAAAAGTATGTGGACCCACTTACATCACACCAATACAAGCTTGTTGGATATGCTATTCCAAAACCATGAGCAATAACGTGGAGTTGGCCCCCTCTTTGCAGCTATAACAGTCTTCACTCTTCTGTGAAGTTTTTTCACAAGATTTTGGAGTGTATCTTTGGGAATTTGTGCCCATTCAGTCAAAAGAGCATTTCTGAGGTCAGGCACAGGCACTGGATGAGGAGGCCTCGCTTGCAAATGATATTCCAGTTTATCCTAAAATGTGTTTCATTGGATTGAGGTCAGGGCTCTGTACAAGCCACTGGAGTTCCTTCACACTAAACTCATCAAATTCATCTTTATAGACCTTGCTTTGAGCACAGGGACACAGTTATGCTGGAACAGGACAGGGCCTGGCCCAAACTGTTGCCACAACATTGAAAGCATATAATTGTCTAAAATAACTTTGTATGCTGTAGCATTAACAGTAACCTTTACAGGAAATAATGGTCTGAGTCGAAACCAAGAAAAACAGCTGGCACAACAGTATGTCAGACTGCTAGACATACCTCCTCCACTCCAGCCAATGCTTGGCATTGCATGTAGTGATCTTTGACTTGTGTGCAGCTGCTCAGCCATGGAAACCCATTTCGTGAAGCTCCCGACAGAAGTCTGCACAGGCCTGATTATTAATAAGTGCACCCACCTGATTCAACCACTAATCACATCCGCCTGCACCCACAAAATCTAGTGTGATTCCTGCCTATTCCTGCCCGCAAAACCTAGCACCATTTTTGCCTGCACCCATCCGCTTCAACCACACGCCACGTCCACCTGCACACGCCTACTTTGGGCTGTGTGCGTGGTCCTCGTCAACTCCCGCCTGTGTTTGCTGTAATCCGCTACACTGATGTAAGAGGGGTCCGTGCAAACCCTGTGACACTCTGGAGCCTCCAGACCCATTGCATCTCCGCAAACCCAGCAGCACAAAAAAACATTTTAGTGTTGCAAAATAAAAGTAAATATTTTGTGTATTTTAGGCTAATCAAAGCCATGTGAACTGGCATATGGCACCACACGATGAGCATCACGTCATGTCAACAGCCTAGCAGCTTGGCTTTGCTAACTAACATTATTTTTATCTGTGTCAGCATTATATTGTTAGCTAATTAATCTATGAGATGTTTACAAGTCAGATGAAATGAATTTAAAGCCAAAACAGAGATTGAGGCCATGGCACAGGTTAAAAAGCCAAAGAAATGTCGTGAAAAAAATCAGTTTTATGCATAGATATTTACCGAATGCTCTATAGCTTCATGTGTTTTGCTGCTTGTGATTACTCGCTTGTTTTTCTCTGCAGCACCCTGCCTGTTTGCTTCTACAAGCAGCCAATAACTTTCCAAGCCCTCCCCACTCAGCCAGCCATAACACCCGCTCGCAAGAGCCCGCAACCTGTTGGCTGCTTACCTGCAATGACCACAGTGCTTCAAAATGAATCCTGCCTGCAAATAATTTAGCAGATCACACGGGACCCGCGCTATCATATACGCTATTTTTACAGCAGTGCTGCTCTGTGAGTTTGTGTTATCTACTGCTGTGTGGCTGAGCTGTTGTTGCTCCTAGATGCTTGCATTTCACGATAATAGCACTTATAGTTGATCGGGGCAGATCTAGCAGGGCGTAAATTTCATGAACTGACTTTTGGCATCCTTTAACAGTGCTATGTTGAAAGCCCTTAGTATGACCCCCTCTACCGCCAATGTTTATGGACATTGCATGGCTATGTTGTTGATTTTTTACACCTGTTAGCAATTGGTGTGGCTGAAACAGCTGAATTCAATAATGAACAGGGATGGACACATACTTTTTGGCCATACAGTGCAACTCCAGCAATAAACAGATGATATTCATATATTTTATAATATAAATTACACACTGTATGGGATAAGCGGTTCAG